CCATGTAGACTGCTAACTCCCTTCTATACTGTATTAAAAGATGGATCTCGAAAAATATATATCGCATGCATAACGTAAGTATTATAGAAGAAGAATGGTGACGGATAAATGTAATATGACCGATACCTACATTGAGAAAAAGAAATTGAAACTTTGCAAGTAGTCTTTCTTGATTCCTTCTGACATTCTCTTCGATATTTATTGGCTAGAAAAAAACTTCACTATGATGACGGAATATATATTTTTGTAAAATATACCTAAATTTTCTCATTAATTGATTTATTCGCTAGGAATAAAATTTTATTTCGCCGTATTTAAATAAACATTTATTTCTATGTGAAATAAACCTTATATTTCACTAATATATTTACATATAATAAATAGTAAAATAAAATATTATAATAGGCAATTTTTACTTTAAATAAAAATTTGTTCCAAATAGGGATATCCCTTAATTGATAATCTTCAATTCCGCCATTTTCGATCGCATAAAATATTAACCCTTTTAGTGCCGGGAGCCGATATATCGGCTCCTGCTACACCGGCGAGAAGTGCCAGAGCCGATATATCGGCCCGCACCTTGTAGCGCTTTACTATTCGCATTGCGAGAGATCTCTACCAAAATAAATTTAAAATACGTTATAAATAGTCTAATTTCATTACGAGAGAATTAAAATAAATAATTTTTAAATATTGCTTTTCGTTTGGTTTTTATGAGTCTTTTACCAAATCCTAGTAAAATCGGCCGGTTATCTTCGCATAAGCACCTCTTTTTCGCCCGGCACTAAAAGGGTTAAACTAGACCAATTAGAAGCAAGTTTGTCCATATTCAAACTCAAAGGACTCTAGGTCGGTCGGGAAAAGAACGACATGATGAAGCGCGTGATTGAGCTTCTCGCAATGCGGAATCGCGGGAACGGCGGATCGCGTAAACGACGATAATAACACCGGTGCTCCTCCTCCGCCGCCGTCGACACGGCTGTGAGTGATTCAGAGTAGGACGTAAGCGAAAACGCGAACCGCCGTTTAGTCATTAATTCAACAATGCACACTGATCGCCGGCGGCGATGTTGTTCGCGCGACATTAGGCTCCAGATAGCGAGTATCCGGTTGCTTAGTTTGCGAGCGACGCGACGCGCGTCACACACCGAGCCCTGACAACTTCTCCGGCTTCTCGAGCTGTTTGCTTCGCCGAGTCTCCCTGCGAAATCACGATGATATGCGCGTTTATCAGCAAACACGGCTGCTTACCGTTTCTCCGTTCTCCACGTGTGCGTAGAGAACGCTACACCTTCGTGGATCATTGAGCGTTCGCAATGTATATCTATGGACAACGATTCGTTTCCCACGGGATCTGACGGGGCAAGAGCAAAATATGCCCGATGCCTTTGTTTTAATGAGAAGCGTAAGAAACATTAGATTATTGTTTGAAATGAAGTTACTCGTTTTATCGGATTTGAATTTTTAATTTGCTATCTTCAATCTCGAATTCTAGTCTAACACGGGTTTTACATATGATTTTAATAGACGGAACAGCGGTATCTGTCCTAATTAAAAGAATGTCCACGTAGAAACCATGCATGATTCTACCAGATGAAACAGGACTTAGTCTTGCCTTATTAGATCTAGTTGGGAACGAATCGTTGTTGTCCGCGGGTGTACGTCAAAGAAGAACGCCACACGAACACCTCGGCTCTCTTTGCCTCGCTTTTCGACCGGCATAACCCATTTTAGTTGTTTACGCCCGACTCTTTTCTCTCTCTCCCTCCCTCCCTCTCTTTTTTCCTGCACTTTTCCTTTTCTCCTCTTCTTAATAGTACGCTCGCCGGCGTATATGGGTCGAGTCGGTCAAATTCACCGTTCATCGCGCGCGCAGGAATTATATTTATCTCCCTCGAGAGAGAGAGCGTGCAAAAGGCGCGTGCGAAAGACGCCGCGCGCAGGTGGAGAGGTAAGGCTGGCTATTTAAACCTACGGTCGTGGCGCGTAAGCGGCGCCCATCGATCTATTTTCGCCCTTAACCGCCGCTATCGCCGGCGTATCGCGCGTTATTCGTGTCATCGGGAATCCGGACGATTCGATCCGCTACTGACCCGGCTAATCTCTTTTATAACGCGGGGTAAGTGACACGGATCCCGTGACCGGCGGCAGCGGCGCTTCTTCCCCGGCGACGTAACCGAATTAATTGCTGAGATGGCGATTAATTCACGTTGCGCTCTCGTGATAAATCACGTTATCAAGCGGCACACGCACACTCACACACATACACACTGGAGGAAAAAAGACTGAAACATAAATATAAAGTTTATCTCATAGATAGATAAACGTTTGTTTAAATTCGGCAAGAGAAAATTTTATTCTCAACAAGTAAACGGATTAATAAGAAAACTTAGGTATATTTCACAAAAATATATATTCCGTCATCGCAGTGGAATTGTTTTCTAACTAGCAAACATGGAGAAAGATGCCACAAGAAACATTTACTTCGCAAAATTTCAATTTCTTTTTATCAGTGCACACGCGGGAGCACACGCACACATACGACACGCATGCCAGCGAGTTCGCGGCTATGAATATCCGCGTGTCAGTGTGCACGAATACGAATAAAACCGCGCATCTAGAATGAACGGAACGCGCGCGGTCCCGGTTCCTTCTATAAATAAGTCTCCCTGACTTACAATCTTCAATTCGTGACGTCACTCCGCGACGTCGCGGAGTGTTACTACTACTACTACCTTGCTTATTTTCGCGGCGAGGGAGTCCGCGGTGTTCCTTCTTTTTTCCTCGCCGTGTCCTACACACTTCTGCGGATCGTCGAATAGAATCGCGTGCCGACGCGAAGTGATTGATAACGCGAGCGATTCATCGTCCGCATCACGGCGTGCACACGCACACGGCCTTTCCACGTGCTTACACTGCCGGCAGCAGCAGCGGTGATCAGCATCTATTTTGCATCTGATTCTTGACCCTGGAAAGCAAGAGTAGCGGAGAAGGGCGACGTGACGTCTTCTCCGAAGGCGAGAGAAGTAGAAGTGCGCGGTTCGAGTCGAGAAACCGTCGTCGTCGTCACGAAACTTCAACTTTCGTGACATTTATGTGCCTCGTGTATAATTAAATGACTCTCCGTCTCTTTTGACGTGTGCCGACGATACCTAATACGATCGGACATTAAGTATCGATTAATTTCTTGTTAACGGACGCTATCTTCGTTCATATGAAATCGTTGTTTTTTTTTTACGGAATGCCGGCGAGCGATCATCTCCGTCACCTTCGATAAATTCCTCTCTCACTGCTGTGTGTGTTCGCATTCGCGATTTATCATACGAGACCGTCATGTAACGGACACGTGAATGTTGACGCTAACGCGCACAACATTTCTCGGCTCGAACGTGCCGTCACCTCCGGAACAACCGGAGCTTTCGAGAGAGCTACCACGCAACGCGCGGTTAAGCTCCGAACAACATCTAGAAATAAAACCGACCAGTTGGCACGACTCGTCGTCGTCGTCGGGGAGGAGGATCGCCGTACTTTTATACTTCGGACGCTTCGCGACATCGCTGCCGATACTACCGCTTACTATGATTTCAGTATTCGTCCCAGAGCGTGCAGCAGCGTGCAACGGCGAGCGGCGGCGATTCTACTTTTCAGTCGCGGTTTCTTAATTTCCCGAGCTTCGATCGAGCGGTTCCTCAATTTCCCCCGCCCAAGATCGATCGCGCGGTTCTTCAACCCCGTCGCTGCGGCGCGCTCCGACCAAAAATGCCGCTGTGCGATATTCGATTGCGCGACACCGAGGCCCGAGGTTTATCACTTTTCAGTTAACTTGTGGCTGAGACTTAACACTATTACTACCAACGATTAACGCGTATCTTTCTGCCGAAGCAGTTTAAGCAAGATTTTTGAAGGAAAAAATATGCAAGGGAAAAAATATTTATTCGTTTACACATTGCGACAAAAATGATGGGAAATCTCAGAAAGAATGTATCATTAGAAATTGGAGAAACTTTTATAAGAGAGAATGTACCATTAGAAATTGGAGAAACTTTTATAAGAAAAAAATTACAAACCGGTCATTCGACCGGTCATGGTAGGTTTAGTGTTAATCTAATGATAATGCAAAAATTGTGTTTTTCATAATTAATTATTAAGCCGATGGCTCTGTAGTGGTAAATTTAAAGTTTAATGATTAAGCATGAATAGGAGAATATCATTTTTGCATTATTATCAGATTAATATATATATAATCCTAAACCACGAGTTAACCAGTAAGTGAAAAACAGAATCTGAGACGGAATAATATAATAAGGAAAATTCTAACCGGAAAATTCCAATGAGGTGTAATACATATACAGCGTTCGCAATATATAATGTATAATGTGTGTGTGTGTGTGTGTGTGTGTGTCATACATAGCAAAAGAGTTAATTTCGTGAAAGCCGGTCGTGAGAACCGAGACCTCGTAAACAAGCACATACAGCAAATGATATTTTTTCCAATCGTGGTTTTTTTCGTTTCTGACTATTAATCGCGATTCTTTAATTCCTCGAAGCCCGACCGTGAGAATCTCAATGAGAGGACTTGGACTGCAGGATTGTTGATCCTGCTGGACGACCAACCGTGGATAAATATGTGTAGCAGGTGACGATTTTTTCTTCAATCGCATTTTGTTAATGTTTCAAAAATCAAAAGCAACTCTTTGAGTTTCCGAAACCCGAGTATCCATCATGTAATTTTTTCCTAACTGAAACGCGAAAGTTCCAAATGTTTTCAAATTAGAAAATATATGCGTTTCATAAATTCCCCCCGGGAATTGATCATGAATCTTCTTCAGCGTGAACTCGTGAAAAGTGTCACGGAAATGTTCCAATTTGAAAACACGCGGAATGTTTACTCTTCACGTTTCCGCATTGAAAAGAATTAAATAATCGATACCAGAATCGCGAAGACCTCGACGAGGGAATCCAGACCGCGCGCAGGATCGCGACTCTGCAGGACGACTAACCGTGGACAAGCCGCTGAGGTCCCAGGCGCTCTTCGCCTGCTGCTTCTGGTAATTATTCTTCTTCTTCTTGCCGGGTCTCCGTAGACTGGAGAACCACCCGGACGCGATCGCGACGGCGCTCATGTCCCGACGCCCCCCCGCGTGGAGATCGGCCGCATCGCCCGCAGCTCGCACATCGTCCAAAGCGTCTACCGATCGACCGGTGAAGATCATTCTCGCCGGCCGTTTTCAGCGAACGCAGGTGCCCACACACACTTTTGCTCTCCCTTCGTTTTTCACCACCCCTTCTCTCACTTCTTCACACCGGCCGTGTGAAATACGGATGACACGCGCCCCGAGGTGCTCCACGTTCACCGGAATCGCCCCCACGGCCGGGCGACATCGTCCACGCCGACAAAGTAACAGGAACGCTGGTGCAAAGGTCGCGCGGCACGACGATGCGACAACAAACGCGTAGGCCGGTCGCAGGAAGTGCAACGACCCTCTGCGAGCACCTTGGGCGACACTTCACCCCGACACGTCGCGCGGTTGCTCGCTCGTACGGAGCGAATTCCCCTCCTCGCTCGCGGTGAATCGTCGGGTGAATATTTTCACTCGGAATCGAGAAGACCGACGCGGTATTCCGTCGCGCTTCGACTCCTCGGCACACCTCTCGCGTTTCGTACCCCTCGTTGGATGAAACGACTCTTCTCTCTCCCCCCTCTCTCTCTCTCTCTCTCTCTCCTCGAGAGGAAAGGAAGAATTCCTCTGGAAGACCGCACGTGGTGGCGAACGCAGGCCCGAAAATTCCGAGATCCCGCCGTCCAAGAGGGAAACCACTCGCGCCCGGTAGTCTTTGTTCGCGCGCTCTATGTCCTCAGGCGCAGGTAGAAGAACGGCCGAGGCGGTCGCATTCCCAAGGCGATTATAAACCCGATGCGGAGAGGAGAGCCGACGGCCCAGCGTACACACCGTCCGCGGCGCGCGCGTCAGCAGTCGTTACGCGATCGCCCGCAACTGCGGGACTCCGTTCGTTCTGGCGGGCTCATTCCGGCGGCTCGCACACTGGCGCCTCGCCACGGCTGCGATCCACACTCGCGCCTCTCGCGTATGCACAAATATTTGGTGATCGCCGTGGAACGCACGCTTTCCCAGAAACATTTCGATAGGGACGACGAGTATCGTCGGCCGTAAGGTGTCACATGCGAAAATCCGGTTGAACAATGCCGGCCCTCCTCGAATGTCTCTCTCTCCTTTTTTTTGAAAATGAGAGGAGAAGAAACATATGCGTTTGATATTTTAAAAGGTATATAGGGTGTCCCGAAAATTAGATCGATAAACTACGGATGCCTGTAAAGGACACCGAAGTAATTTTCCGTAAATGGAGCCATTTCGGTACTAGAGTGAATTATTTGCAGCAGTTTTGTTCGAAGTGTTGGTCATTAACTCCAATACGGAGACAGCAATTTTTCTTGATCCAGGTAGTTGTTGTTCTCTTGATGAAAAATTAACTTGAAAAACTGCTTTATCGGACTGAAAATTGTTGAGAATTTTCAAATAAGTAGCATTACTAATATTTGTTATTGACTCACAAGGTCGATATCACAGCGTTTCTTTGTTGTTTGTTCGGAGTTCGTTTTCAAAATGGAAATTTCTTCTTTCGAAAAACCGGTTCACATGCGTCTTATTTATGGGAAAGCTAGACGCAAATTATCAACGCTTCGAACAGCTGTTGTAAATAATTTATTCTGACGCCAAAACTGCTTATTTGTAGCCACGGGTTTGTTGATCAAAATTACTTGTTTTGATGTTCTCTATAACCACCTGAAGTTGTCGGTCTAATTTATGGATACTCTATATGTTAAACAGAACGGGTAGAACAAGTGAAGGGGAAACCTCCTTTACTTTTCTTTCAAAATTTCCTTTTTTTATTTCTTATACCTCTCCTCCCTTTTTTCTTTTTCTCTCTTTTTTTTTTATGTTCTCCGTCTATATCACAATATTATTATTGTAACGTTCTTAGAGGACTCGCTCTAGAATGTAAATAAACGCTTTATCTCTCTCGCAAGACGAATTCCGCGGTCTCACGGCGACGACGGGGGCGGGAGCTGACGGTTGTGGCGGCTGAGGCGTTCTTCTTTGCTGTGCTTTTTTCTCATTTTTTTCCCTCTGAATTGATATAACACACAATTCAAAAATCGCCGCTCGCACCTGCTCGCTGCACGTGCAAGGCGACCAACGTGGATCGCGACCATGTTCACGGCCAGCTGCGTACGCCTAGTTTGGCGTGCGGACGAGTTTTATCGCGTGATCGTGCTCTGGTCGCCCTGATCGAGCAGCCTCGAAAAATGACCGATCCGTAATCGATTTATGTGCGTCCTCGTGTCCTTATTTTTATTGCTTATTACTTATTTTCTGCGGCAAAACGCTCGGATCGATCCGCCTTACAGGCGCTTTCGGCGTCTTTTCCCTGTCTCATCGACATGTCTCATGTCAGTCTTTGTATCAATTTTGCTAATTAATCGTGACAGTCGACCGATCAATCAAATGGACGTTTCTTCCGACGATGCGCTGTTGGTTATTGCAGCGTGTTGCACTACACACTCTCTCTCCCTCTAAATTTATTAGAGTGAAAACGAGTGAAAATGCACTCGATGCGTCAGTGAAAATCTTGTCATGCGGAATCGCAAGAATGAATGTTTAACTGAAACTTGGAGTAGATTCTCAATCCATATGAGTGAACGATTCGAACGTTAAAGCGAAACATCGAATCTTTTTCAACGATCAGAGCGAATTTGTTTTTGCGAGACGGTGAATCATCGGATTCACTCTTCAATTCCGAGTGAAAATATTCACTCGACGATTAACACGCGTCATCGATTCTCAGAGGGGAGAATTTAACCAGCATGAGTGAAAAATCGTTGGAATTCGAATGATTCGGCAAACATTCTACTTGTCGAGCGGCATTTCTAAGAAATGTAGAAAGTAACATATTCAGCCGAGTAAAATATATAGATCAATACAAATATGTTAATCGATTAGGAGAACGAACCTGTTCCTGCACGGGAAAAAGGAATCAGCTGCCCGTATAACACAACTGAAATCTAGTTACCAAGCCTAGCTTTTAGCTGTGGGAGCTAAAACCTAAATGCAAGGACAAAAAAATTAGCCAAGTTAACTAAATTTCAGTCGTATTATATGAACAGCTAATTTTTAGCTGTTTGTGAGCTATTTCTTTATTTCCGTGTGTGAGACGCATCAGGTTCACTCTTCAATTCCGAGTGAAGATTCTCACTTGATTCTCAGAGCGAAGAATTCACTTTGCGTGAGTGAAAAATCGGTCGAATTCGAGTCACTCGCCATTTTGCTTTTCGATTGGTATTTCACTTCCAATAATTTCGAGAGAAATCCGGTACGGTCGAGTAAAACACGTCTCATATCGATCACATCGACGAGAGAAACGACCGGGGGCTCTACTCTTGTCAAGAACGATAAGAAAATTACGTAAACAACGGTATTTGACGTATTAGCAGATAGCGTGTAACTTTTATCGGTTATGACAAATATTACAACACGTACAACTCGCGATCTACGTTAGCCGCGTTTAGTCGCAGTAATCGTTCGATTAGCGCGGATAACGAGCGGCGCGGGTGACGTTGTTCATTGATGTTATACTACGAAGTGGATGCGTCAGCTATTGGTCAACTGCGACGACTACTTCCTCCTCGCCGGGAAACCGTTCGTACCGAAGACGATTTATCGTGCATGTACATCGCGCATTGTCGCGATACCTACAGCCGCTTCCTCGACCATTCGTATCTAACCGTCCATCTCTATCGACTATCTATTGTACAAGTCGATCGAACGAGTTCCGAGTAAACATCTCGCTTTACGTAATGCGTCTTTTCAGCGTTCCTTTCTAATCGCCGGCGAGGTTTCGCCAACATATTATGAGGCTCGTATTTTTAATGGCGTTGTTTACGCCTGCGAATAGATGGGGCTTTTTTGTTAAATGTTAATACACCGTTACGGAGCGACGTGTATGTGTGTGTGTGGGAAGGGTACACCACGGGATACGCGATAACTGTTAGGACAACGGCGGTACTTAATCGTTATCGACTCTTCTCATAGACAAGTCTATCGAGTTTACTTTTTAATGAGAAAATAGGTTCCCCCGCGACCGCGTCGAACTTTTGACGGATGCGCTCGAAGGAGATTGATTAAGGCCGGGAAGAAAACCGAGGAAGAAAGAGAGAGAAAGAGGGCGGTAATCGTCTCAAGATCCACTGACATATTTCTCACATCGCGATTTTCACGTTTATTATTGTTCGAGTTAGCGGCGACGCAGCTGCGATAATTCGCGGCTTTCTACGCGATTCACGGCCGCTCACGGTCGCGAGTGCGACGTGAGAAGAGTTTAACGAAAGTTGGGACAACAAGGCGAGCGAGTGAAATCGTAGATATATAAATACCTGGCGTCATTAAGCAGAGTCGGGAATCGCCGAGGACGTTGAATCGACAACGACGAATTGATCGATTGTGCGTATACGCTCGTTTGCACAACGATTTGCGCACGTTTTTTCCAATGAAGTTAGAACACTGCATCGAATGGTCATGTCCGGATAGACGTAAATTTGCCACATCGAAAAAAAAAAAATAATGATAGAATAAAGTTAACGTAATTACATGATTTTTCAGAGAGGGCATGTTTTTATCAATTTAAATATATCATAATAGCTTGTGGTAAATATTTTCTTGAATGCGATCTTAATTTGTAAATGAATTACTGAGTGTAAGTTTAAAATGGTTCGAAATTTAAGACAGTATCACTAGAATTGTGTAATATTTCCTTCCCATCGAAGAAACTTAGTGGTGTTAAGATGAGATTTTTCTATCTAGCAAGTATTTTCCAGAAATAAATTTCCCTAGCCACTGCTCACGGCCTGGCGTGGCGATCGATAGACGCCGAAATGACAGTGCCCCGTGTAAATATTGGCCCTTTGTAACCATACTCTTAACCGACAGATAAGAATACAATGAAGATGCTTGTGTGCTCTTCTCCGAATCCTTCGTAGCACCGGCTGTCTCATACACACCATCACTTCGGCTCCTATCATAACCGGTTATCGCGTAAGATCCGTGAGTGGCGGCCCGCGTGATCGTAACCATCTGATATCATGACCTTCTAACTTCCTGTAAGTTAGCCGGGAACAATCGTGGTGCGGGAACCGTCTCGCGCGCTCGGGAAAAGTGACGACCTACCCACGCGTTCTCGTGCGAATGGAGATTTCGCAGATTCCGCGCGTTCGCTGGAAGGTCGCACGGCGGCTGCCGCTCGACCGTGATCAACGCTCCGATGACGCGTGTTAATTGTATCTAATTAGACGCATGGCCAACGGAGAAAACCGATCGAATGAGAGGCAGCAGGAAGCAAACACGTGTCGGGAATCGCGTACACTCGTCGCCTACGTGTCCTTGCTCGTTGCGACTCCGCTCGAGCTTACTGCGCTCGACGATCGACGATAGATCAACATCGGCGTCGTTGATAACGGCAATTTATACCACTAATTAATTATATATGTTACCTCCTTCGGCCTTCGTTTCTTTCGCACGCCGGCGTACGTGAGACAAGCCAGCAGACGCGACCAGCGTATCCCGGGCTTACTGTCATTCGATTTGGCTGCGAGGAGCGTCCTGGACATGGCGAATCGGCGAGTTCAAGCAGAGTGACGACTTCGAGAAGGCTCGCGCGATCCACCAGATTCCTTTCGTATCCGAGAGATGTTTACGCGCGCGGCGAGACGCTTATACTACTGCGAATTCGCGCTGAATTCGCCTGAATTTATTCGAAATGTCGCACGGAGCGAGAACCCGCGAAGAGAGCGCGTTATTCGAACGGGCGAAGAGCGTCGTTGAAGGTCCGAAGGGGGTCGTCCTGCGAGCTTTTTGGAAGCCGAGCTTGCTCTCGCTCATGTTTCTCCGCGAAATCGGCGTCTCGTGCCGCTTA